CAGCAAATTTTCTTTTAAGCACGTCTGATTGAATAAATTACAGACATTATGTCTGCTAATTTTTAACAAAATCCATTCGTATTCACGAATAATCTTCTGTGTATTGATGTTAAAGAATGAGAGAAATGTGCTATAGCTGTTTAATTTTTTTATTTTCATTTCCCAAGTACTTTCGATCTTCTTCCAAGATCATCTTCAGGGGTGCAAGTAATACAAAACGATATGCTGTTCATTAATACGAGTATTTATACAAATTTGTGCGTTTTACCCATTACCGTAATTTTTTCATCATGCTTTTAAATGCAAAACGGTTGACAATGTTCAGAGCGTTCATTCGAACGAGAAAAAATCTATCCATTATGAAATTTTGTCCATGCTATAACGTCATGGTCGTGCTCGCATTAAAGCGTGAAAAAACTGTTCCTTTACAGGCATTTCAGAACATCACTGCACTATTCTTAGTTGATTCTGTTCAGTGCCGCCTTTAATTTTTTAATATAAATTGCTTTTAGTATATGTAATCTGAATTTGTTGTTTTCTTGCTGTAGGACAGTTCTGTTGTCGATGAGTAATTCTTTATATTGTGAATGTGAGCAGGAATGTTGTAGATGTCTCGCAATTGACGAATGGTCAGACATGTGTAGTGTAAGTCTTCTAGTTAGTGTATTTGTCGTAGACCTAACACACATACCGATATATATATATATATATATATATATATATTTGTTGGAGATACATTCTCCCAAGGGACATTTGAATTGGTATATAATGTTAGTTTTACGTAATATATCGGTTAGTGGGGAGGAGTTATTGCGAATAATTAAGTCATATATAAAATAATTATTAAACAATATATAATATAGAATACTTATCGAAGGGCGTCTCTGAGTTTCGTAATTTTTTTAATCACACATCTGGTCTCTTGACAAGAATGACTGCCTTGATCCGATAAAATCTATTTTGAGTTTATAAATGCTCATTTATATAGGCTAAATTTAAAATTTTAATGTTACGTTTACAACTGTCAATTTCGGGCATTTTGTACAATAAGTGAAATGTCAAATAATCATATGTAAATTGTAATGTTAATTAAATTATATATATATATATATATATATATATATATATATATATATATATATATATAGATAGATAGATAGATAGATGTTTGAATAAAAACAGACCCTTTAAGGTTCCATGTAATAAATTATTTCACCACATCCCTTTTAAAGGGCTCTGGATCATCAGACTTTACTTCCAAATGTTGAAATGAAAAATAAAAAGAAATTTACACATTTTTGACGGGTCGTATTAAGCATATGTAAAATTAACGAAGTGAGGAAGTGAGGGGGGAGAGAGAAGATATCAGTGAGTTAGATATACCATTTCAATTCTTTATCCCTAACCCCACTTGGTGTGGGCTAGAGAGCGCTCAACTTAACTTATGTTATCTTTAGATATGGATGGGTAGGGGTGAAGAAGAAAACCGACATAAAAGGAAGAAGCTACAATAAAATAAAGAAAAGGTTTCACTCAATGACATGGTTCCAAAAAATAGAATATAAAAATAAAACTACTTTTATCCAATTGGATATTATCGATTTCTACCCCTCAATTTCTAAAGAGTTATTAGAAAATAGCTTAAGTTTTGCCAAAATCCACACTGATATTACTGACGAAGAAATAAAAATTATAATGAACTCTAGACAGTCGATACTAAAACTGAATAACACTACTTGGATTAAAAAAGACAGAGACAACTTCGATGTCCAAATGGGATCATTTGATTCAGCTCAAATAACTGACCTAATAGGTATATACATTTTAGATATCCTAAGTAGATTCCTTGACCCTCAAAATATAGGACTATACAGAGATGACGGATTGGTTGCTGTACCTGATCCCAACTACAAAAGAAAATAATTAAAGCTTTCAAATTTCTAGGGTTTAAAATCGAGATTTCTTCCAACCTAAAAATAGTGAACTTCCTAGACGTTACATTTAATCTGAACAATAACACTTATAAACCCTTCCAAAAGGAAAACCAATCACCCATATATATATATAAGTATCTACTCTAATCACCCGAAATCAATAATTAAACAAATTCCAAATACAGTAAATGCAAGAATAAATAAACTCTTCCCTAGTAAAACCATTTTTAACCAAAATAAATCGGAATATAATAAAGCCCTATTAAAAAGTAAATTTAAACAGACACTAAACTATATAGATAAGTCAGTTAATAAAAAATCCACTAAATCCAAAAATATGAAAAGGAAAATTATATGGTTCAAACCACCTTTTTGTAAACTTTCTAATATTAATATAGGTAAATACTTCATAAACTAATAGAAAAACACTTTAGTAAAAATAAACTTTTAAAAAAGATATTCAACAAGATGAACTTAAAGATCAGCTATTCTTGCATGAACAATATGGAGAGAATTATTAGCTTACACAATAGTAAAATCTTGAGAGACCTTCATGAGAATCTAATACAAAATCATAATACAACCCAAATGAAAACATCAACATGCAATTGCAGGACAAGGATAGAGTGCCCGGTTGAAGGAGTATGCATGGCGGAAAATGCAATATATGAAGCAACAATTTTCCCCAAAGAGAATGTTGAGGTGAAAAATATATACATAGGAATATCGGCGGGAAATTGGAAACACCGACTGTATAACCATCGCCAATCCTTCAAAAATAAATGTAAAAAGAACCAAACGGCACTGTTAAAGCATTATTGGGATTTGTTGGAGGGCGGCTTAACCCCACAAATAAAGTGGAAAATAATCTCGAGAGCCAGAACTCAAAAAAATTTCAGAGACAGATGCGATTTATGCATAAAAGAAAAAATCCTCATGATCAAACATAAAGATCCAGATTTGTTACTAAATAGACACAATGAACTAATTTTTAAATGCCGACATAAGAATCACCTAAACCTAAGAAAATACATTGAGAAATAACCATATAGGAAGAATAAGATTTAATGACCTTTGTTCTTTTTGCTTCTGGAAATGTTGCTATGCACGCATGAACGCAAACACATGACTGTATGTATATAGCTATGGTATTGTACTTGAACACTGATACGTCTTTTAATATGTACATGTATATGTTTCTATATGAAAAGAGAGGCATGCAGGTTTTTTATGTAGATATGAGTGTGGATGTGTAAAATTAGATGGGTACTTATATGTCTTGCCATAGATATAGGATGGCGGATAATATATGTATATATATATGTATAATTATAGGAATTTGTGTATTCATAATGTAATGACGTACTGATATTGATATGTTCTTTGAATGCATACATGTGTGGGGGTATGTGTGTATATATATATATATATATATATATATATATATATATATATATGTGTGTGTGTGTGTGTGTGTGTGTGTGTATATGTGTATATGTATATGTGCGTGTACGTGTATATGTATATATGTATAGATGTGCATGTATGGGTAGTTGTACGTGTGTGTGTATATATGTGTATATATGTTTATATATATATATATATATATATATATATATATAGATATAAATATAATTATATATGTGTGTATATATGTAGGTATATATGTGTATGTGTGGATATGTATGTATATATGTGTGTATGTGTTTTTCTACAGGTGTATATGTGTATGTGTGGGTATATACATATAGTTTTGTGTGGATGTGTGGGTATGTGCATATATGGATTTATATGTATATAGGGATATGTACGTATGTGGATATAGATAGGTGTTCGGATATCTGTAGATGTGTGTGTGTGTATGGATATATATAGAATGTTATAAAAGAAGGACCTAATTTTCTGTAAGTAATGTTTTACCCAAATTTCTCCTCCAATATTCTCCAATTGGAAGTGAGTTTAAATAATACGGAGGTAAATTTTAAATTGATAATTTAATTTAAATTGAAATATATTACCCTTTAATAATCATTATTGATGATAAAATTATTTCAATTGGAATAAACTTTGATAATTATGTAGGTATCTAAAAACAGTCACGAGTTTAATTTATGAACAAAACTCAAACGAATAGATGTCAACTTAATAATCAACAAGAAAAAAGTTTAAGCAAATAAAAAAGATTACTAGATGTAAAAGGAATTTATTCTTTCAATGTACTTTCTATGAATTTTTCCAATAGACTATTTCATAGAAAATACCCAAAACTCCAACAAACATCAAATTAAATTCTTCGTAGATTTCTTAGACATTTAGATTTATATCAAACTTTAACCCCCAAATATACCCTTTAAAGTAATGCGAAATAACAGCGTCCAAGAAATTGAGTGAAACCACTCCTTTATTTTATTGTAACTACTTCCTTTTATGGTGGTTTTCTTCTTCACCCCTACCCATCCATATCTAAAGATAACATACGTTAAGTTGAGCGATGTCTGGCCCACACCAAGGGGGGTTAGGGATAAAGAATTGAAATGGTACATCTAACTCACTCATATCTTCTCTCTCCCCCCTCACTTCCTCACTTCGTTAATTTACATATGCTTAATACGGCCCGTCAAAAATGTGTAAATTTCTTTTCATTTTCCATTTCAACCTTTGGAAGTAAAGTCTGATGATCCAGAGCCCTTTAAAAGGGATGTGGTTAAATAATTTATTACATGGAACCTTAAAATGGTCTGTTTTTTATTCAAACATATTTGCTCTGAATTTACATTGAGCTCTCCGGATATCATCCTCCTTGGATCTACCCAGACGGATTACCTAGTTTTGCATAAACTATATATATATATATATATATATAATATAATTTAATTTATATTATATATATATATATATATATATATATATATATATATATATATATATATATATATATATATATATATATATATATGTATGTATTTGCTTTTTTCCACTTATTTTGTCTTTTTATTGTCCCTACATAACGTGTTTGTTACAGTGAAAATTATTGTTTAATATTTAATTTTTTATCTTTCGTTTCAGGTTGTATCTATACGTGATGTATTTTGGGAAGACGGTGAAAATAGTTACGCTCGGACTCAAACTGATTATAATCCGACAATGTATCAAACAAAGGCGTTTGCCCAGGTGAGTGAAAAATCTCCTCCCACTTTCAAAACCAATCCACCCAAAGAGTTACATTGGCGCTTTCTCAAATCGACTGTTTTTCATTTCTTACTCTGTATTCGGTAACAACTTCTAACTCAGAGATTTTACAACAAAAAGGCAATGACTATTGATGTTTCTGTTATTTGCCTGGATATTCTTGTAAAATCCAAAGAAGCATATGCAATGTTATCGGTACTGACCTGACATGTCGGCTTCTATCACTTTCTCATCTCAGTATCATAGCTGTTCTGTATTTTTTCTATAAATATTTCAATGGTAATTGTTTTGGTGAAAATTTTCATTTGATACTTCGGCTTCCCGAATTTAATTTCAATACTAGATTGTCAGTTAGGTCTTATCATATTACTGTTGCAATCTCTAAGTCTAACCACAAGTTCTACTTTAATAGTTTTTTCTCTTTGGACTTACCTCTTGTAAAACATTCCTCTTACTTTTCTGTCATCTACGAGCTTCAGCAATTTAAATGCAGTGTCAATCGTCATCTTCTATTTCTTATTATCCTTAAACGTTTTCACATTTTTTTTCACTGTCAGTAAGCCCTTGCATCTTAGTGGCTTTATTACGCGAAATGAGTAAAAAAAGAAAAATTTTGCTGTCGGATCTCTTATATTTTGACTAACTCTTTATTAAATCACTTCAAACATTCTTATTTTCTTTGAGTACATGAAAGCCTATATGTTTAGTTAGTCTAACTTAGTTTACTCTAGCATAATAACATAACGTGAGAAAAATCTCTGGCCTGCTTAGAGAAGCATTTTAAGATCTTGAGTTTTTCCAGGAAGCGAATAATAGCCAGCTGAAGAGGTTTCCCTCAACAGACCTAGCTTGGAAATAAATACCATAAATAAAAAAGGCAAATGATAAAAAGCTTTTAGCAGCAGTAGGCAGTAAATAAGAACATTAGACTTTAAGACTCCAAGATGAATGATTAAAAAAAAAGGATTAAAATAAACGTAACTATAATATATATATATATATATATATATATATATATATATATATATATATATATATATATAGATAGATAGATAGATAGATAGATAGTGAGAGAGAGAGAGAGTGAGAGAGGGATAGAGAGATAGAGAAGGCACACCGGAGTAGTGGATAACAACTCGAATTGAGGAATCAGAGAGCCGAGTTCGAATTCGTCGATGGCAACTGGTCGAGGAGAAAGAAAACTCTGAATTCAAAACCTACGGAGGGTCGTTTGGGGACCTTGTGGCACGTAGTGCACCAGGCCTCTGTATTCGACCCTTCAAATGTCAAATAAAAATCTTAAGATCTCGAAAAATCTGATAATAAATTTATTTTGGTAGGTATATGAGCTCTCTTCATGGATCTATCTTTTTAATATTTATATTAAAAAGATCTAATTGAATTATCTTTTCCACAATACTTTAAAACTTTAATATTAGTATCTCTTTTTCTATCTGTTTATCTCTCTCTATATATTTTTCAAAGGCATATATATATATATATATATATATATATATATATATATATATATATATATGGCTTTGAAAATGATGAAACGCAACATTATTTTAAAGGGAACTTTTTTGTCCAATACATCTTTAGGAAGATTCGTTGGAACGACAATAATCAAAATGGCGAAACTGAAAAAAGTAGACATCTTTTTATGCTTTATACTCACTAAGAGCTTATTTGCATCGATTTTTTGGTTTATTTATTTATATTTTTCCTAATAAATTTATTATAGTCGTGGCTCTTTAATTATCCGTGTTTACCTTTTTCAGTTTCGCCGTTTTGATTATTGTCTTTCCATCGAATCTTTCTGAAGTGTTGGACGAAAATGTCCCTTTAAAAGAATGCGTTCCATCATTTTCAAAGCCATATTTAAATTCTGTGGTACAAAATCTTTTGTTTCATTATATATATATATATATATATATATATATATATATATATATATATATATAAGAATGACACTTTTCATGCATTTCTCTTTTCATTTAGGTAGAAACATAATTGCACACCATATAAATTTAGAAACTACTTCAATACAGCCTGTTTAATAACTGCTGCTGTCGATTTGTTAATACTTACGGAAGTGGTTCTTGTTAATATGTATTTGGTACAAAGGTATTAGTGCAAATAGCAATACAAGCGAATCTGCAGCAGAATGGTAAACCAATTTTTACGTTCAACGATTTTCGGATTCTTGACATCTCATCCATGTGCCTTTGTACTTGTTAAATACGAAATTACTTAAATAGTTTTAACTCCTTTATAAATAAATAAGGTTTCACTGTGATTTACTCATCGCATTATTCACTTTTGATTATTTCCTGCTTTATTTCCCGTTCTAACTGATCCTTTTGCTGTTCATTTGCAGCTCATCACCAGAATTGTCGACAATCTGTTAGACAGAAAAAACGAGGTGGCATGGAATGCAACAGAACCGAGCGGAACTGAGGGAGAAGCCCTCATGTCAGTTATGCGGAACTTTTCTGAAGTCATATCGAAAAGATTGGAGTACCATGTTAAAGACCGGAAGTTATCAAGAGAAGAAGCCATGATTCGACAGGCCAAAGCTAATATAGGTAAGGATTTGTCTACGAAATTCCACTCAACCCGTGTTGTTTTTTTCCAGGTATGCAGTGATCATCTCCCTTGTCGATAATATCAAGAAGTCACCTCGTAGGCGAATCGATTATTCAAATGTCACATTCAAACGTGGACGTTCTAAACATGAAAAATATTTTGATACACGCAAATAATAATAGTTTAAAATGACGTTATAAACATATCAGATGAATTTCTTAACGTTTCTTGTTTTGCTGATTTCTAAAAGCTGGTCTTGTTTCAACGACAGTTATAAGAGTAAAGATGACTAAATGAAATATGAATAAATGGAACACGGTTTTCTTGCCCGATTTCTCAAAAGGTTAGGGAAAGTACAATTATTGGCATCTGGTTACGAAATGAATCAGATGTAGCTGCCAGTATTTGGCTTTTGGACAACTTTATGGTCGAGCTTTTCTAAACTTGAACTGATTCGCCTAAACAAGATCAGTGTACAATGCTATATGTTTATCCATTCATCTGTATGGCTTTGAATCCCGGGCTCAATATAGAGCTCACGTACTCGCTTTTGAAACCTTTCACATCCGCAGTCTTCAACGCATCCTCGGGTTGACTTGGCAAGATCGGATACTGCATGTCAATATTCCCCAGCGTACAAGCAATAGACGCATTGAGGCAACAGATCAGGTGGATTGGTCATGTTATTAGAATGCTTGAAGGCCGCCTTCCAAAGAACATCGTATTGAAAGGCCATCGCTATGCTGGAGGACTGAAGAAACGTTTCAAAGACTACTTGAAAGTAATGCTAAAACAGTTCAGTATTAATCCTGCAGAACTGGAAGATAGAACAGCCAAACGCAAGAGATGGAGGACATTATGCTGTCAGGCCATTGAAATATTTGAAATTAGCCGAACTCAAAACCAGGAATTCGCCGGCACCAAAGTCATGATCGTCTGGGGAATGTCGTCATTGCCACCACATGTTGGAATTCAGGGTGGACGGCAATGTCTGTCTCAGCTTGGTCATCTCAGCCGTCAATGTCATCAACCGGTGATTTCTTCAATTCTCTTGTGAAACAGACAGCATCGTATTATTATTGTTTAATCCATGATCCTTAAAACTGGTATTGTGTCCAACAAATCCATATAGAATAGGAAATGCTGGAATTAAACAGAACATGTGAATTTGAACGAAAATTGTGGTTAAATCAATTAAACACAGTTGCATAAGCATTCATAAATAATGAAGCATTTTAAACGCACATAAACCAAAAGTTTAAGAAAATTTCGGAGGAATTAAAATTCACTTTTCATTCGATAATAGGTCAAAAAAAGTAGAAAAGCCAAGAGAGAGAGAGAGAGAGAGAAAGAAAGAGAGAGAGAGAGAGAGACGCTCACAGACAAACAGACAGGGAGCGCCGGAGGATTAGTGAGAGAGAAAAAAGCTGATTTTTAATCTGAAATATTCACTATAAGAGTCTGATTAAAAGTATCGGAAATATTGCTATAAAAGGAAAACTACAACATATATCAATGCAGCATTTAGTCTCCTTCGAAGTAGTCCCCTTCTGCGGTCATATAATTTTATCCAGCGTCGTTTCCATCCCGGAACTCATTTTTTTTGGCATAGCTAGCGTCTGCCTCGACGCATTCATTTGGATTTACTCGAGGTCTTGAACTTTTCAAGTAGGATTTGATATTTGAAGAGGGAAAAATCACAAGGGCGAGATCTGAGGAATATGGTGGTTGTCGAACCTGAGAAATATTGTGCTTGGCCATAAATTGCTGCACAAGCCAGTGTTACTGAAATAAACTCTGTGGTGTAGTGAGATGACCACACTCTACACGCGCACCTTCCAAGCACTACTGTAAACAACAGAAGTGAGTGAGAACGTTATAACCTGGTGTGTATGCGCGACCGAGTTCAAAGTTAGTCTGTGTCAAGTAACGCCATTCTGCTTACTTTAACCGCGTTACCATAGCAACAGTTCCGATACTTTTTGAGTACACCTCGTATAATATTTGACTTTTCCGATTACAATAAGTGATAAAGAAGGAAATTATGTTGGAAAATAAATATCTGCTGTGCAAAATAATTTCTCTTTTCATCATTCGATTATTCGGCTACTTCTGTGTGGCCCACACTTGTATACTTGTAGTTACCTCTCTCTATATGTATTTATATTTACACACACACACACACACACACACACACACACACACACACACACACACACACACACACACACACACACACACCTTACAAGAATGAATAAAAATTTCTCAGATTTCCAAATCTAGGTCTCAACATAGTTTCCTTTCTTTTCAAACATGGTATTCCACCCTTGAATGAAGGCATGTAACCTCACTACATTGAAACTTCATGGCGGCTTTCTTTGCTATATACAACATGCTGCTTTAGCTTCATCGTCATCATTGGAGAGCTGCAAAGTCTTATGGGATATGGAATCAGAATCTGTTGGAATGTAATCCCATTCTATTTTTTCAAAGAGTCCGTTCGCGTTCTCGCAATCCACTTGGCGTACACAATAGCAATTTTCCTTTCATTTGTAACAAGAACTTCATCTTGTTTGGTTTTATTCACATTCACAGCAGCAAAAGGCTTGCCATTGCAAGGCCTGCCACTAAGAAATATCACCCTTTACCCCCCCTCTCTCTCTCTCTCTCTCTCTCTTAAAAATCCCACTAATTCTACTGAACTATATTATCTCCATGGATATCAAGTTCAGCCTTTCCAGAAAAAAATTCACTGATTTCATGATAATATTTTCTCTAATCAAAATATAAATCGATGATAGCCTTTTGCTTTCTACGTATGTCCAGAGGGTAGCCATTTTCTAAGATGGTTATGGGTAGGGAAGAAGAAGTTTATAGTTTATAGCTTAAAAAAAAAAAAATCTACGAATTCAAATACTTGTAAAATTCAATTATAACAGGTAATAGTTTTTGACTGAACCGCGTATGTATATATCTATCTATCTATCTATCTATCTATCTATCTATCTATATATATATATATATATATATATATATATATATATATAATTATAATAATAAGGAATTTAATGGTCAGTGGTATTAAAAAAGTTCTCAATGCATATGTAAAAAGAAAAAAAATAGCATGTAAAGCTTTTAAGTATAGAAAATAGAAGATCGAAGTAATAAGTGATAGAAAATTAGGAAATCAGCCAATTCCGCTACTTTGGTTTCAACCTTTCCGTATCTTCAGGCGATTTCGGTCAATTGATTTCTTAACGATATATTTTTTTTAAATAAAATATAATGGACGCTATATTTTAAAAAAAATAACAATGAATAAGCGCAAGACGTGAGGTGTGGTAGAAGGTGAGGAGAAGAGGTGGGAGGAGAAGGAGGAGAAAATCAAATGTATTGGAAATGTATCGGTCGGTAATTAAATGAAATTTTGGGTTTATTTGAAGGGGGTAAAAAGAATGTATATTTCATTTAATTCCCCACCGATATATTTCCAATACATTTGATTTTCCCCTCCTCTTCCTTCTGACCTTCTACCACGCCTCAGCTTTTGCGCTTATTCATTTATGTATTTATTTTTAAAATATAGCTTTCATAAATATTTTTTTTATTTCAAAAAAATAAACGTGAGGAAATCAATTGACCAAAATCGACTAAAGATACCGAAAATTTGAAACCAAGGTAGCGGAATCGGCTCATTTCCTAATTTTTATATATATATATATATATATATATATATATATATATATATATATATATATATATATTAGTATTGATATTAGAGTGCATGCCGCGCGTGATTCAATTTTTGTCTTGCTTTTCTGTTACTATAGAACGAATATTTTGCCATTGTTGAAAGAAAATCCTTGACCTAAGTGACCAAAATTCACATTTCGGTGTCTCCAAGTACATTTTTTGCAAAACCAAACTTCTTTCTCCACTGATAGCGCTAAACGTATAATGTTCTAAGCCTAAAAGCAAAAATTCCTCATGGTGTTAGTTCGTTGCGTCAAAAGCAGTTTCTCCTTCATTTTGCACGTGTAAAAACTCAATTTAAAAAAAAAAAAATCTTTTCATTTACGTCTAACAATTCTTATTTTTTCTCTCTCTTCTTTTTTCTTCCATTTTCTTTTTCTTTTTTTTTTTTCTCGTCGCTTTTTTTTCCTTTTATCCCTTCATCGCCGCCCTTTTTTTATCGCTATTTTTTACTCTGTCTTTTCACTCGGCTTCTAATTTGCCTTCAATTATTTTCTAAATGTTATTCTTTTTCATATTTTCCTCTTTTTTTGTCAATATGTTTTTCTCATTCCCATCTCTCTTCTTCACTTTGAATTTCCTTCATCTCGTAACAACATTTTTATTCTCTCCGTTTTTCTTCCTTTTTTAAATCTGACTGGATTCAATTGCCTGTTTTCTTTCTTCTTCGTCATCGCTTTCATAATTCATTTCTACAAAAGAAATGTTAATTTCATTTTAGCTTTGATCCCTGTATGTCTTTATGACAGAATAACTTGTCGATTCGGCTGCACGAGTCTCCAAGTTTTACTTTTAAAAAGTGGATTTTTTTGCGTTATCCTTCATCGTAGATACAGACAACTACCATACCACAAATATGTATTAATACAAAATTTAAAAACCGATTTGCAGCTGAAACTTTTCCATAATATATTAAGCTGTTCGGAGAGTAATTTCGTATCAGATCTATGAATTATGAATTAACCAAACAAGACCGAATCAAGGTTGAGAGATAAGAACCTACATCTAGAATGAATTTATGATATCTTCTATCTGATTGTGTGTTGTTTATTGATTAAAAAAAACTATTTTGGATCCCTAGGCCAATAGAACGCCGCCAACAAAATGAGTAGAAAATTCCGTATTGAAAATATTTTTTTCGTTTTTAATCACTACGGAAACACTCGAAAGCCGTTGTCTGTTTATAAGTGTGTGTTTATAAGAATTTCTCTATAGAGTATTGTTAGATGTTTCTAAATTTTTTAAA